AGCACTGTTAAATGTTAGGAGACTTCCTATCACTGCCTGGCAGACCAGTATCATAATGTCCTTTCTGATATGAAACTCCCTGAGCATTCACAGCGAAGAAGCGTGTACTGCGGATTTGTGAAGACGGTTTTTCACTCTAGAAGGAGCGGTCTGGTCAGTCTCAGTGTCTTGACATTTAAAAAAAATGGACAGGTGCTCCACCTTTAGGACGTGGCTTTTAATGGGCACAGACAGTGGGCGTAGCAATATGATCTCTTCTTCTGTGCGCAAGTCTAAATCTGTTAACCTCAAACTCACAGGATGAGTCGGATATACCTTTTGCACTTACGCCCTTTATTCTTAACATATTGTTTTTCAAAGCTTTGAAAAAAAAAACTCATTTTTTTTTCAAACTCATTGTAAAAGTAACAAAAAAGGTGGAACATCTTGTTTGTCCATTTGAGTCCTGTATCTTAATGCTGATTAATATAGAAACAGATTTCCACAGATCATATGTCAGATGTGCGTGTTTGCAAGTACTTTGTTGTGCACATGTAACAGGATAGAGAGGGTAAAGAGGTATTTTTGTGTGTGCATCTAACGCATCTTTTATTCATGTCACCGTGACTTGCAGGAGCCATCTTGAAATTACATCTTTAATGGTCATTGATCCGCAGCACCCCGGGGAGCTGGATAGTATAAATGTAGTCCCAACGCAGACTTTTTTATGTATTGCGCAAAGCTCTCTAACACTGCCCAAGCAGCTGAAAAGTGTATTTTTTTCTTTTAACTGCAAAACTTCTTTAAATTTTTGAACTTGATTCATAGTGGGATGTTCACAGTGTTTTTTCTTCTTTCCCTTCACCTCTTCAACCCCATTCGAATGTTCGAATAGTGAGTAGCACCAAATTCTGGCCAATTAACCATAAATGAATACAGTCAGTAGTATTTGAGTGATAGTGTAGCAAAATGTGAGGTCACAATGACCTTAAATAGTGTTCAGACCTTGTCCTTCACTAACAAGTTTGACAACTGAATAGGGATGCGACTGCAAACGAATTTGAATCAAATCTCTGTGTTTTTTTTCCCCTTAAGCCCCCTTGGAATAGAGCTATTGCGTTACATGATGGAGCAATAACCTCTACAGTTTAGGTCAGAGAGTATGATAATGCTAGTCTGATAGAGAACATCCCCACCCTTATTTGAAATAAATATTCATTTCATCTCTGCCTTGCTTGGTCTCCACACAGCTCCCCCTGGTTCAGCGGTGTGTAAACAACTTCTACATGTGGTGATATTGGAAGAGGTCTCTCTGGGTTATGGTGTGTAACTGAGATAGAAATATATCATTACTGGGTGGGGACTGAGGGGATCTGAGGGACAAAGAGACTGAGAAATAAGAATATTGGATTCTGTTCCACACACACAAGCTTATGTCCTTACATGCACGCTGTCTGCTCCATCTGTCTGTTTTGCTCATGCAGGCGCGCACGTATACAAAGATGTACACACCCACATTTAGCATAGGGTGTCTGTTAACTGCATGCGAATGGGTGATGGACTGCTCCAGTGGCTCTGCCAGTAATATAATCTTCTCTATTCCCCCAGATCCCACACCAATATGTCACAATTGTCATTTATTCCCAGCATGGTCGCTCACAATCAGATGGCTTTTCACATTGAACACACCCTGATCCTGTCAGGATGATGAACACTTGAAGTGCACTCCAATCCACCTACACGTGCATAGATACATCGTGTATTAACACATGCTGTTTTCTATTTGCTTGCTTTTAGGTGCTTTTTTTCTTTTTAGTCTGTTATTTTGGAGGACATCCCAGACCACCAGCCATCAGACGCATACTATTGGTTTCATTTCATTTTAACCATTTAAATGCAACCACCGTTTCTTTATATATATATATATATATAAAAGGAAATAAATATATTGTAATGTTTTGTGAATGGCAGCAGCCTTTCAGTGTCTTATATAACAAGGTGTCATATATAACAAGTTAGACCGACTGGGTCCATTCACACCTTCTTATTTGTACAAGAAATGGTCCAGTTAGTGGCAGACATGCTTTAGTGATTGACAAAGCAGAACTAAATATGTAAATGTGCCTGTGTCAATCATATTGTTGAGCGCTGGCTTTTCCCTGAACCAAACATGTCCTGAATATGTCTGATAAATAAATTGCAGAAAGCAACTACACTGCAGGCATCTAATTAAAAAACCGAAAACAAAAAAAGACAACCATGCTGTTTAAACTAAAAAGTTTAACTTGGAACACTTTTTATGTTATCTTTACAAAACATAACATTTTCAAAACATTGAAATCTGTCAGCTTTTTATGAAACAGTTCTTTATGGACCGACACGTACTTGTCAAGGAAGACAGATTATTATAAGGGATCCATGTTTTTTCCCCTTTGAGACCAGCACTCTTCAAAGTTTTCTATTTACTATTCATGAATTTGTTTGGTTAGAGGTGACTTTTTCAGGTGTTGGTAAATCGCTTCGCTCAGATCCAGTGTGCGAGATTAACAAAGCTCGTTTTAGGAGAGACCTCGTTCTGAGCATTTCCGAACAAAAGTGATGACACAGATTCAATCTCATCATCAAAGTAATTAAAATGAAAGATAAACATGATATCTGCTTAAAACTGTGTAGAAAACCAGCATTGATTTAGTCTTATCTGAGAGCATGTCTGCACCATAGAAAATCCTAAAGCCAGATAGCAGTCTGAGCTGTCTGGACTTAAACACGGGTGGAAAGGGTGTAGCGGCAGAAACTCAGGGAGCTTTTCAGTAAATTCAGCGTAGGCCAAACATCCTTTGGGATTGAAATTCTTGACGAGTCCAACTGCGGGTCTGACAACAAATTTCTAATCTGACATTTATATTTTGTCTCAAGGTTCTGCTTTATAAACGGCAGCTCCGAGGCACATTTTAGAAACAACTACATCAAACAATATATTGTTATACAGTTATTAAAGCATTGAAATAAAGACAGCGGTTGCCCATGTTCAGCAGCAAATTATAGCATCTGACCTTAATGAGAGAGCATATCCTCTTGAGATTTTCTCTACTTTAAGCCACAGAGGATATCACTGACTACCTGTTTCTGTGGTAAATTAAAAGAACATAATGTCCTGGCTACCAGTGCCTTACAGGGAGCTCTTCTCTCAGTAGTTGGCCACTGGGAGTAGCAATAATCACCCGTAGAGACACAATAAGCCTGCAAGGAAAAAATACTCAGCCTGCTAATTAGTTTGTAATCTGTTATATGCTATATGCTTGTTCTTTGGAAGGGGAACAAAATAAATACTAAGTGTAGTGGGTAAAATTACAAAAGAGTAAAAAGAAAAAACCCAACAACAACATTAATTGAAAGAATGTGATTTTACTTTAAATGTTTATGTTAAATATTATAATAATTAAAGAAGTTAGCATGCTCTGCACTTTACCAGGTGATTTATAAGGTGTCTCAGCAGAAGCAGAAGCATCTATTGATAAAGTAATTTTAAAAAACACACATAAAGAAAAAACATCCCATTTAGTTACAAGAAGAAATATGTGCCAGAGACATGACAGACATAACTAATTTAGTCTGCGACAGCCGAAATAAAAGTATTAAAATGCCGAGTTAATAAGACAAAAAATTATCTTTGCATTGGCAAAAAAACATTTTATGTGCTTTATTAATCCTTTGTATTAGGAGGGAAATTAATGTTGGGGAGTTTCTGTCTCGCGCATCCCAAATCCTTCTCATAAAGCCTATTCTGCTACATTTAATTGGGTATTCAGAATGTGTAACACCTGCCTGCTTGTTATTCTTATTAGGTTTCAGTGATCTGTTGGGTTATACAAAGATTTTGACAGCGTCTTCCTAGAAATTTGCATTGTTTTCTGGCAGTTAAAAAGTCAATGTGTGATTTTCAATCCAATTCAGCAGTCATTTAAATTAGAAAAAAGGCAATTTGCATTTTGATATCTGACTTTAATCTGCCTTCTGAATCAACAGAGAAACCTTTGTAAGAGTTCTTCAGCTGTGATGATCTGTGACAGTCTGTCCAACTGGGTTATATACTTTATTTGATACACAACTGCATCTGTTCCTCCTCTCCCTGAAAAACTTTATTTCATCATTTCATGTCCAAATCTCTTTTATCAGTTTTCTCTCTCCTCTCCCCTCCTTCCTTCTCTCTCCCACTCTCGCTGTCTCGTTCAATTACAAAGCGGACGGTTCATCAAGTAGAACAGAGCGGGAGCAGGGTGGAAATGAGGTATGTAGTCCAGTCAGTGAGATTTAGAACAGCCCTCTAATAACAAGGGAGGTTAATGTATTGGTCTCAGGCCAGAGGACACATGCTGAATCTGCTCTATTAGAAACAACTTGTTCGGAACAAGAATACACTGTAGAGACATCCAAAGCGGCAGTTTTATGGCAATAGTTTTATGAAAAAGAAAATACCAATTTTAAATCCATTGTGAAGTACAAATGAGTACTTTCTGCCACATTTCTGCTCCGTTTGTTTATCACAAAGCACAATCACGAGCCATTGTGAAATGTGATAGCCAATATTTTTTGTATCTGACAACACAGCGAGACGGCTTTCCAAAGAGATCACTGTGGGGCTAACTGGGGAGTATTAAAATATCAGTAAATCAGCAGATACCAATTACAGAAAGTGATGCTATTAGAGCACAGCTAATAGGTACGGAATACAAAGAAAGTAACAAAATAGTTTCATTTATAAAAAAGTAACATTTTGTTTTACTTTAATTTACAGAGAACAGCCTAAATTTTAGATTTTATAAAATAAGTTGATCATGTTTTAAAATAACAGAATCTTTGAACAAAAGCGAATGAATCATCAGCCTGTTTTTGGTGACTACAAAAGCAAACGTGCTTTTTTTTATTCACCATTTTTAGAATTGCTTGCATGATGGCATGTTTTCTAGCCACAGTACCCATAGATGTGATGCACGTGTAAACGCAGGTATGACGTTACACACCTTTGACCTCCTTTTCATTCCTGAACCAGCGCAGGTCAGCGGCGGGCTTGCTGCCCTGGGTGATGCAGGTCAGAGTGATGTGGTCTCCCTCCATGGCGGGCTTTGTCAGGCCATCGATCTCTGGCTTCTCTGGCACACCTGAAGGATGGAAAACGGAGATCACAGCGATGGCAGAACTAATTCATGCGCAGCAGGGTGTCATTATACAACAATAATATTAGTATGCCTTATTGGAAATCACCCGCCCCCCTAGCTTTCCCACCTGCAGGGAGATTAGAGAGCAGACTACAGAGATTCACCAAGCAGCGACATGCTCGACGGTACATCACAGAAGATTCGTGCTGGCACATGGGTGGGTGGATTTTTTTTTTCTAACCACTGGGTCATTCCCTGCTTCACTGCTAGGTCAAACCAAATTATAAGAGACATAATTTTTCACCATTAGTTTTGTTTCTTTGGTTTTTCCAGGTCATAAAACACTGACTCTGCTGCAAAACAAATACAATGAGGCAGAGAGGAATTTTGTTTTTGATGCTCACAGAATTAGAAAATACATAAAAACACATCAATGTGCAATCAAAGAACAATTCCACAGTTTTTCCTGTGGTTTTTATTCACTACTACACTTCCCTTGAAAACATAAAACCCCAAATATCATCACATCAATCAAAGGAAAAACTGTAGGCTGACAAATAGTATGCTTTGTATGTCTGTGTGTGACAAGGCTGTGACCGCAGACAAGGCCATTACTATTTACAGAAAATGTTAATCACTGGCCTTTCCCATAATGAGTGTTTTAAATGTGTGGTGTCTGCCCTTCCACTGTCAATGAGCAATAAGTCTGCCTCTGGCTGAGTGACTGAAAGTTCTGTCAGTCAATGCCATTGACTGACTCTTGCCTTGTCCGTCTCACCGCCTCCTGTAAGGTTTATTGCCACAGTTTAAAGGTCCTCCTGTTTTATGTTTCCCATTTGTTTGAAGGCGCAAACTGCATACGTAATCCCAACAACAGCCGCTGCTCGGCAGAGGCACAATTTAGCAATAAGCATGTGTTAATATTATACATGTGATTTTTAATGCGCCTCTTTTTTTTTTTAATGCAAATTGCTTAGTTTTGAAGTATCTAAAGTAAGAGTGCCACAACAGCTAAGAACGGTGGTGTGCGAATAAGTGTGTGTGGGTTGACTCAGAAAAGTATTTGATGGATTTTCCTCCAGACTGAATAAAAGCAGATCAAGTGCATTGTTCATCGTGTACAGTCACGTTCCCCTTGGGTGGCTATAGGCTGTACAGCTTTACACCCTCTCTCTATAAAGCTGAGTTTTGAACACGCAGAAAAGAGCTCAATTTCTGATACATGGAAAATAGGGAAATTGGATTTCACTGTTTCCACAAATTTCTGTGGTGGTGTGTGATTACAGTGCTTACTATGCTGATCAACACATAAATATATATGCATTTCCTTTAAGCGTTTGAGAATTAAGGTCGATCATAAGGTATTTAGAGCTAAAGGTAATATCCTTTACTGATAACTAGAGCAGGGCGATATGGCCAAAAATATTTATCACGATATATATTTGAAAATTTGCGATAACGATATAACCGACGATATAATTGATGCGAGACAAAATACAACTCCACAACATTACTAGCGCAAAAAGACAACCTTCCATTTATTTTCACTTAAACAAGAAGCTGGTTTTTATGTACATTAAAGCTTTATAAAAATGTAACAGTGCAAATGCAAATTCCTTGCTGAAAGTTTAACCAAAAGGCATTTCCAGTAGAAATGGGCTGATATATCCTGAGCATAACCATGTATAATATCCACTGAAGTTAAAAAGAGGTGCAGTACGCATTTTTCGGACCATAAGGTGCACGGGATTATAAGGCACATTAAGCGAAACAAAGCAGTCAGATAAATCAAACTTTATTAAACTCATTCTTCTTGCTTCCTCCACTTCTGTACCATTGATTCATTAATGTTGAATTCTCTGGCAGCTGCTCTATTCCCATGTTGTTGCAGTATATTAATGACTAACCTCGTATTGTGGATGGATTATCTCAGTTGTTCTCCTGACTGAAGTTTGGTCCGTTTACAGCATCCTGCCATGCGATTGCATTTGTCTCTAACCATGAAGAACCTTCACGTTAACTTTTATAAGTGGAAAAGTGTTAGTGTTCGTCCTCCAGCTTCACTGTTTATGTTATGCTAACATAGCTGTGTCGCTAGCGATCACGTAGCACATCATTATATACCAGCTAGCCCAACTTCAGTAACCCTACAAACGTCACTGCTGTTTAGTTTCCTGTCTTCATTTATGTTGGAAGTGATAGCAGAGCTGTACGTTTGATTTTTTTCAGAAATCTCTCAGTCAGAACATGCAATATCATGCTTAGGTAACTAGCGAAACTAGCGAGCTAACTTCCGCTAGCTTCCTGCTAACTTCTAACTCCGTTAAATGTAATAACTTTTGTTTTCATGGATGCCTGGAAGTTAAACTTTATAGTTACACCTGGTAAAGCAGCAATGCTGATCGTTTTATTAAAGATGAAATAATTTAGACAGTTTTTAACTCTAAGTGATGCTGCAGTGTTGTTTGACCTGAAGCATATGGAGTTTAGGACCCAGATTACTCCCAGATTTAAGAGCATCTTAGTCCGACAAATATGACAATAACGACGGCCGCTTGCATGTTCTGCAAAAAAATGTGCTTTGTCGTGTATCTGACGGACAAACACCAAACCAGTTCCACATCACGGAAGTTGCACCATTTTTACAAACCAATTCTGGTTCATCTGTTTCACTCAACAATCGGCCATGTGCGTATGAAAACAAAGGCACTGCGCATGCGCGTTTTACTCCCATTCTATCGCGATATTTCATTTTCCTATCGTTGCCTAACATTATACCGGTATTACCGTGAACGGTATAATATGGCCCAGCCCTACTGATAACATTTGCATACACTTTCAATTACTGATCGAATACTAAGCACATCAAGTCATGCATCAGCATTAGCCGTATTAGCGGCAATGCTAGCAGCTAACGATGCATCCCATAGTTAAGCTCCAGAAATAGTCTGTTGGGAAACCTGCTACTTTGATGACTCAGACTTAAGAAAGATTACCAGGCATTAATGTGCCAGTATTGATGGCCCTTGGTGGATGAATTCCTGATTATTCTGAGCTCTTACTTTTACTTTACCTTCAGGAGTTTCACATTTTTTAGAGAAATGTCTCAACTACTATAGGATGGATTGCTATGAAATTTATTACAGACATTTATTTTACCTGTAGGCTGAACTCTATCTCAAAATATCTGTAACATCTAGAGTGCCATCAGGTAAAAGGTTGAACACTACTATCCTTGATGACATTCTCATCAGCTTTACACACTGGCAACAGATGAGCACATATTTTTGTTCCAGCACCAAATCATTTGAATGCGAAGCTTGCATATTTGTAGTATTACAGTTTTTTTTTTCCAAAATCGTTTTCAGTGTTTTCTTTTATTCGTCCCCAGTGCTTATGGTCCCAAAGCAGTGGCAGATAAACCAGGCCATCCCCAGACTATTTGGTGTGTTTATTAAATCACCCTCTCTGTTTTCTAGCTTGCACCATTAACTATTGTTCAAAACTGCAAAATGATTTTCTCCATATTCTTATTGAGCAGTAGCCTTTAATGTCTAATTCTCAGAATGCTTGTTAACACAGAGAGCCAGCTAATGATCCTGGAGTGCACAAGCACATCTATTAAGATTAGCAAAAACTAATTGGCAAGATAATAAGCCCAGTGGCAAGAAATGAGACAATGTTTGTGTGAGGCCATGATCACAACACAAACACTGCTAAGGGGAGGGAGGTACTAACAGTGTACACTATTTTTTATCTGCATTTGCAGGCATAAGCAACAGGCTATTTCTAACAACATAGCATCACAGCAAACCAATAAGCTGATAGCCTCAAAAAAGAAAATCAAGGCTCCAGTAAGGCTGCAAAATCTAGCTATGCTGTATTACTAGTAATTCCGAATCTTCTAAAATCAACAAATTCACAAAATAATGACATAGATATTGCTATACTCGACAATTTCACTATTTTCTTTTTGTGAATTATAATAATTATATATGTTTATATAAAGATTTCAAATGGGGAGTCAGATTTGCAAATTATTTCCAAACGATTATTACTGGATTTGAAAAGCTCCTGAGACTCCGTGAAAAAGAAAGTCAAGTTGGAGCATTTTGTATCTTCAGCAACCTCACGAGCGGAAATGGATATACAGCCACTCAAGACATCTGAGTAAGGTATGCAATTTCTTTTTTGCTTTCTTTCGTCTTTTTCTCACTAATCGACAATTTCTGCTTGAGGTAAAAGGAAACCTAAAGGGTATGTGTTGCATTTGGAAGCTGTTTTTTTTTTTTTTTTAAAACACCGTTCAGAGTTTAAAAAAAGTATATATATTATTTTTTAGCCATGGCAAATGAGAGAGAGAGGAAAAACATGTACTTAGATCACTTTACTACAGATTTTACACACATTATAGCTGCTATAACGTCCATCTATGAAATTTTCCTTTGAGGTGGAGTTTTTGCTTTTGCTTTGGATCTTGTACTCACCCAGAACAGTCAGGTAAGCTTTGGCCGTTCTGACAGGCATGGTGAAGAGAGAACAGGTGTACATGCCTTCATCAGACAGCGTGACATCACTGATGCTGATGGTCAACTCTGATGATGTTGCACGCACAAGCTCGATTCTGTTGTCCCTTAGAGCTGGAAACACAGATAACCAGAGGCAGATAGTTAGAAAAATGTTCAAATAACTGTAAACTAGCAGCTGTGGGAGAAACTTGTGGACTTCTACAGTGCGGTGACAGGTACAGGGTTTAAGGCTGTAATATTTGAACGGTGGTTCTTATAATGCATCAGTGTTGATGTCCATATAGGGAATAAACTGCATCCACAGATAGAGAGAAAGAGAGTTTAAAAAGCACGCAGAGAGAGAGATTAACCAATCTAGAATCATCTCATGTGGAAAAAAAACAAACAAGAAAAAATATTTGCCTGTTATTTGGTTCTAAACATTTTCTTTGTTCTGAAAAAAACGACAGCAGAAGCCCTAAAGTTTCGACATCTGCTCTCGGTATTAATTAATGCATATCCTAGATGAACTTCTCTGTAAAATCATCTATCAGTACCAATGAAATTGATTTTCTTCCATTAGTTTTAAAAATGAATGCATCAGCAAACCACCGCATTAAACTATACCACACAGCCTTCACTGCTGTAAACCACTGCAGACATTTACTTATATGAAAATGTAATCTTCCAAAAGACATAACTGAATGCAGTGGGGATCAATATTGCAATAAAAGGCAGAGAGTGAGGCTTAATGAGAATTTGGCAAGATGTGCAAGTAGAAATAGATTTGCTGTGATTGAATGGCGAGTTTAAAGATACAAGAGGGCTCTTCAAACTAGACTTCACGTCTATGATAGGACGGGAGCATGCGCTAAAATAAAAAAAATTAAATAAAATTCGTCGACACCTTGGAAATAGCAGTCGAAAAACTACACACTAATTTGCAATTAGAAAAAAAGGCTGTGTGAACTATAAAGTGTGCAGAAATTTCTTTCCTGCTGTTTCTGTGGCCTTGGCTGTCGGGAAGATTTAGTCAAGCCTTCCTTTTGCTAGTATAATGCCTTTCTACAAACCTTATTTAATATGAGCAGCCAAGGCTACTTTGCTTTTAATCTCCATGAAAGTGACTCAGAACTCCCCTTGTTCAAGTACAGTGTGTGCGCATGTGTGACTTAGTATGGTTGGATTAAAGGAAAGAACAGAAAGATAGCATGACTATTTCTGTACAGATGTTTACATTTTCTTTCATGTCAGCTTTTGAAAGCGTATTTGTATCTTATGATCATTTTAAAAAACACTCTGGGTTTTGTTGCCTCTCTAGACAGGGTTGAAAAGTAAAAGCTATTACACAGTCTGTTTGAGGAGTACTTTAGTCTGGCTGGCAGAATTATGAGAAATGATACCCAAGGTATCTAATACATCAATTATAACATCATAAAGCGTTAAGCTTTTCAGCCTTTCTTCAAACTCCAATCCAAACTTTAATTAATTTTTATATACTACGCAATACTAGGTGAAACATCTTTTAAATGTAAGGCAAAAATATACATTGTATCTTGTTATATTCCTGCAGCTAGACCATCAGATGTACCGTAATTTTACTAGAGATGGATGCAATTTCCCTGCGATAGACTGGTGACCTATGATAGCTGGGATAGGCTCAAGCCCTCCCCTGCTATCCTGAAACATATAAGTGGTTAAGAAAATGGATGGATGTAATTTCCCAGTCACTTGAATTTATTAATGGAGTAATACATAATTAGATATTTTTAATAGGCACCTTAATAAGGCTAAGATATAGATCAGGCCTCATTTCAAATTCTTTGAAAGAAGCCAGCGCTCTCTTTGTATTTAACTGGTTCAGCTGGCGTCTTATTGCACAGCTGGATAGTTGCACTCTTTACAGTTCATCAATATGTTACTCTTTTTGCTGATGGGCATCCAAGCATGAAAACATGAGATGTAAGAAATAATTGTACTGCCTCACACTACTGGCCCAGTAGACAACGGTACTGGGGTTATTGTAAATCTGAATTGAAAAGATTTCATGTAGAACCAAAATGAACCTGGACCAAACAATTCTTCTGGGAATTTTCAGAATACGTGTAACAAAGAACAGAGGAACTGGGCCAGATAATTGCTCATAACTTTGGAAAGTCTGATGGTAATAATCTATGTGTTGCAAAACATTTTTTTCAAACCGTACACTATTATAATTTTGGGGATTTACGTGTAGTTTTTCCCGTGACAGTACTCGTGAAAAATTTGCTCATCTTCTATTCTCATTAAAACTTTGTGAAGCAGAAGGCATTCAGTGTTGCACAGGTAATAATCTATACGTAGTGGAAACTGTACCTTCGTAAATGTCAGACAGTGGCACATTTCTAGCCTTTCTAGGTGCATTATTTTGGAAGCTTCTATGTGTGCATGCTGTGATCACAGAGCTGAAAAATAAAGAGAAATGTCAGTGAGCAATGCTGTGTCATTTGGTCTGCAAAGACATGAAGGCTTTGCTTTGTGGGTTCCAGGCTAAACATCTACCGTCGATGGCGAAAGTGTTGTAATCGGTTTGGCTAAACGACAGCTGCTCTGTCTCATTTATTATTGCATTTGTTCTGTCCTTTCCCGTTCTTCACAACACCGGTTATCGCTACACGTTGTGTACAGAGCCTGAGCAGACATGACAAGTTGATATGAGCACATGACATATCTGTAGGCTCCAGTGTAGTGACAGTACACTGCTGTTTCTGTGAGTGTCTGTATGAGTTCACATGCCCGTTAATGCAAGACCACAGAATTAGTTTCAGTCTAATACGCTGCCAGTTCAGCTGATGGTTAAAGCTCTCCTGAACAGATAGGATTCCTGTCGCGTGTCATCAAACTACACAAACAAATGCATAGACTTTGTCCCAACAAATAAAATAAGGTAAATATGGATTAAATCCCGACAAAAACTGCTCTTTGTCTCTGTTTATCTATCTTTCTGTCAGTCTCTCACTTTCCACCCACCCTAAGACCTCATTCTGTCTACTCAGGCAGCTCCACTAACCTGTGAATGTGTAAAAGTTAAACAATGCTTCAGTTCAACTGTTGCCTTATTTGCTTTGGGCAAGGAAGTACGAGCAGGCAAATGTCAGGAAATACATTTACTGTAGCTGGCTCGCTTGCTGTCGCGATACAACTCTACCTTCATCCTGTCCTCTCTTCGAAATTCCACTCTAAGATTTGATTTGAGAGAGAATGAGGGGCATGAGGAGTTCATTGGAAAGCATCTAGACTTTTCTGATTTGCTGGTTTACTTAAGCAAAGTAATGAGAATGATTTGACTTGCTGTGATGACATTACATTTATAATAAATGTGATTAATTGTAAAGTGACTCAGCTGTAACAAAACGTGATTGAATCAGTGGGAAAATCCTGTCAATCACCTCCTGATAAAGGAATGGAGAAAAACGATTAAATACTCCTCGAATACTGAATTTATATGATTCTTATTATTCAATACATAATCCGGATTTTGTAATCCAGTCATGTGTTCCTCCAGTAGTTTCCTCCAGTAGTTACAGGCAAAGATCAGGATAGATTCGATGCCAAAAAGCAGGATCATCCTGAGCCCCCTGGAAGGAGGGGATTCAGGCTGGGTTTTGAAACATGAAAGCTGTTATATATAGCCATGAAATCACAACATAGCTGTTAAGGATACTGCTAACAGTAAAAATACCCTTAGATTTCAGTCCCACTTCCATAATCAGACCAATTGATCAGCAAGTTACAAATAAAGTCTGTCTTATCTAGAAATGTAGTAAGGTGTATATGTTTTTGGACAATGATTCCATTAATTTTTGTAATTTTAGCATTGTACACCAATACAATGGACTGTAAATCAAATAATCAACGTGTGACATAAAGATTTTCATATTTAATCAAGGGGAGTTTAACAAAAGTTTAAAGAATAAAATAATTAAAGTTTAAATTAATTTAAAGTAATTAAAGTTTACAAAAAGGTTGTAAACAAAACTAAATTCACTGTTTAAGAATTAAAGCCACTTTTATACCAGTGCCCAAAAACAATTAATCAAAAGAGACATCTAACTGGCAAGTCATTGTCATGGTCAGGCCTGTTCTTAGGTTATTTTTTTTTACTTGTACTCTCAATATGAGGTCCAAACACATGTTTATGTAAATGAGAGAGGCTGTCATTAGGCTGAAAATCCAAAACAAAGAGATCAATAATCAGGTACATTTTAAGAAGAAGAAGAAGAAGAAGAAGAAGGATTGTGCAGGCTGATCAGCAACACTAAACATCCTGAAAGACAGCAGAAGACAGCTACAATGAATCATTGCACAGTTTCCAAAACCCACTCATATGATCTAACTAAGTTAAGAACGATCTCAGGCTGAGGTAGCCACATCATTGTCTACAATCCAGTGATGCTTTCACGCGGAGGATTTACAGCAAAAGAAAAATCACTGGTAACGCACATGAACAGAATGGCCAGATTTGAATTTTCCTAAACAAAACAGTTCTAAAAAGATTAGGACAGAAGAAACGAAAATTAACTTGTAGCGGGATGACGGCATATCACCTCATCTGTCAAACACGGTGAAGGCAATGTTATGGCATGAACATGTATGGCTGTAAGTGGAAGTGTTACAGTGTCACTAGTGTTTTGACTGCTGACAGATGAAACAGGATGCATTTGGAGGTTTACAGAGGGCTATACTCTCTGCTCAGATTCAGCCAAATACTCCAAAACTTCACTATCCATTATACACTTTACCATGCACAGCCATAATAACCTAAACCTTTGAGAAACCAAAAAGTTTCTCAAAGAATAGAAATGGAATATTCCTCAAAGACCAAGTCATCTGATCTCAGCCCAACAGAGCATGCTTTTCAGTTATTGAAGAAAAAAAAAATACACGCAGGCAGCATTAAAGGCCTGTAAGTGAATTTGAGGAAACAACATTTGTTGACGTCCATGGGTTCTGGACTTCAAGTTTTCACTGGTTGCAAAGTGTTAAACACAAACCATTTAAAATAATTTAAAATGATGTTAGTTTGTCCAATGACCTCCTGAAAAGGCTGTTTATAACAACGACTTTAATTCATAAAGAGTTAATACTTTTTG